ATTTACAACGGTTATTCATTCAGGGATTAAACGACTTTGTTCTTTCCCCCTTACCAACCTATCAGTAAATGGAAAATACTCAGATCTTTTTAATTTAGAAGGCAGACTTTCTCACTGGCATTGGCATTTACTTGCTGTGACGCCTCCTCAAGTGCGGCACCCCCAGGCTCCCCAGCTCAGAGCATATTCAAGACACAAGTGTGCTTCCACAGGATCACATGCCTGAGGAAAAGCTATTCCTTGCAAGATGCACAAATAAAGCACAGCAAAGATGATCATCGATGTCACTCGGGCTTTTTAAGCATTAGCACTGCTCCCACCAAATTTTGGCACTGCCCGGCTGGCCCTCCCCGAGGCAACACTTGGGCCGGGGCCACGGTGCCGCCAGCGGCCACGCACACAGCCCAATTCCACTACACAGCACTGCATGCACGGGCTGCTGCAAAAGCCCCATCTTCCTGCCTCCCACAGCATTTCTAAGTGAAAGGACACACGCCATGTATCAGGGGCAAGGAAGGCAGGCGACGACTTCATTGCAGCAGGAGCTACAGATCGAGTCCCAGAGCATCCTGGTGTCACCAGCCTCTTGCACAGCCAAAGACCTGAGTGATTCCTAACAGCCCAGAGTGGCCCTGCCCTGCCACCAGGCATATGAAGTAGCTGTGCCATGGAAGCCACTTTCAAACTGGTCATGAACTGTATACTGGCCATGCCTGGATTTGCTGCCAGACAGGTTGAGAGAAAAAAAAAAAATCAAGAACGCAAAGCTGCAAAAGAGCTACTATTTCTCCCTGAAATGTTGTTGGATTTTGAAAAATCCCATGGACACATTTACTTGCATCTTTATATACCTAAATCTATCCCCAACAACTGTACATAGGAAGACCCCAGGTTGTTTAGTTCCTGCTACCTTCAGTGGCACAGGCCAAACCTGAAGAGACCTTAAACTCTAGCAATTTCCCCACAAAAAAAAAAAAATGTAACTGTAACCTTTGACACTGAATTTACACTACTGCTAACATCAAATAGTGAAGTTTTGAAAGTGGGACCTGGAAGACTATTTCCTTATTCCTCTAAGCCACTGTGCCAGAGGGCTAGATAAGTGCACACTGTCTTAGCTTTTGCCAGGCTCTGCGGGATTATCTATGACTTGGAGACATCTGGCAGCTGGCATACATTACAGAAACTTTGAGGCCTTTAAAGAAAAAAAGATTTCAAACTGAATCAGCAAGTACACAGAAGTGAGAGCAAGGGGACACAGAGTAAGAAAGAAATCTGTATTTTCTCTGGAACTCCAATGAAGTGTGAGCTGGCTGCAGTTGGCGTTGCATTGTGTGGTCCAGTCTCCGATTACCCAATTTTTCAGAGCATCATGCTTAAACCTACAAATTCCATGTCAAAGGTACCATTTTAGTTAAGTTGGGGTTTATATCTACCCTATAACACTGCAAATGAATTAAATGTTTTAGCAAATGGAAGATTTCTCCTTTATCTTCTACCTCCTTTAGACTTTCTCCCTACTGGAAAATACGAATCCTGCTGGTGATATGAATTTTTCACCACTAGAGCAGAGGGACACCGTGTTAATGTTTCACTGCAATTATTTTGAATTCTATACTCATCTTCTTGCCATTACTGGTAAATTTTTCAAACAATATAAGGCTGGAAGCAAATCCCCACTTGAAGCAGTACACGTATAGTCTGACTTCAGTATTAGATAGTTACATCTCCCCAGCTACCATTTTTTTGGGAAGTTGAAAAATGGAATTGCTTAATTTGCTTGTTTGCTAAAGCCTATTGGGCAGAACTTAATATCTAACACTTCCACTTAAGGCTAATACGAAAGGTCATAATTTGCTATAGAAGATATTCAGTTGCACTTTATTATGCTGCTTTTTCAGCCTGTTTTCTCCTGAAAAAGGCCTGAGGTCAGGACTTCTAGTAGTACCCTAGTAAGTGACCATCCTTTGGCAGCAGAGCCTTAAGCTACTGTTCCACAGTCACTTTGAGCAGCTGCTGCTGCAAAAAGGACAGATTTGCCTTCATCTAAGCTGTGCATATTTGTCACCCCACTTGAATTGAAAACCATCCTGAAAAGAAACCCAGCACTGGTGGTGAATGAGGAACAGCAGCTGAGACACCTCCCTTTTTGGCAGCAGCCTGTATTTACACCAACCCATTTACTAACAGAACTGTAACTTCCAGTGTTGATACACACAAACATGTTGAAAACTCTATCATCAATAAAAACATTAGTTCCAGGCATTAATTTGTGGGAATGTCACTAAACCCCATGGCATCTATGAAATAAAAATGCTGTAACAGGACAGAGCTCATTTCTTTCATCTTGTCACAAGGTTTACTCCTGAGAGAAAATACCTTAACTCCCTTTAAAAACTCCCCCTTTGTCAGCAAAAGAGCGTCTCTAGGTACTCTGTTCTAACATCTAACAAACTTCCTAACAAAGCTTTTCCTAAAATACTGCTAAGTCATCCAGTCTTTAAAGCTAGTGAAAACTGTTTCTTCTGCGGACACAAAAATCACCAACCCTTTTGCAAGCTTCCAAATGCATGAAAAGTTGCTATAATGCTCCTCTGTCTGCTCTCGCTGCCTTTCAGTATGAACAAACCCAGTTCTTCCAAAGTTGCACAAGACTTTTGCTGTTAGACTGTGTCAGTTCTTTGGGACCCACCATTTTACTTCCACAGCATCAAATCAGTAAAGAAACACAGGGATTAGGGAAGTCTCATATGCTCAAAATTTAATTGATTTATACTGAAAAGCGCTGGTTTTATTCAAGGTCTTTTTAATTTCTACCCTGTTTTACAGACTATATTTTGTTCTCTGTAAAAGAAGTTTTTTGTTAAAAAAAAAAACAGTCAAAATACAGAATTGTAACACAAAGTTATAACAAACTACCACCAATACTGAAAATAAAAAAGATCTTTAAATTGAGTTCCATTTGTATACTACCATGTGGCTTTTGTTAAACTGTCGAAATAAACCACATTAATCAATAGGATAGCAAATTACAGAGGGTAATGCACAAGTTACTCTGCCATACAGACACTAAACAAAAAAATAAGAAATTCTGATTCAAAGTAAGATGGGATAACAATGATTTTTTTTTTTAATTTTTATTTTTACATTAAAATCACTAAAAGAGCCATCTTTCTATAGATTTTTACCCCAAAAAGTTTACAGGCTAAGGCCCCCATCTAAGTACACATATACATGAATACTTACTTGCTTGTGATTAACATTATTTGTTATCTTATGGAAAAAGCAATGAGAAACAGAAGTCAGTCCTTAAAACTAAGGTGAGCCAATAGTTTAACAAGTACACGCATGTCTATCAAAAGGAAAGAATTTGGGAAAACATCTGTGCATCTTACTGAAACCATTCTAATTTATTTCTACAACTCATTTTAACCAAAATGCTCCAGACATTGGCAAAGTTCTGCCTGAGGGTCTTAAAGGTCCATTAAATAAATGAAACTTTTAACTCAAAGAAGTATTGAGTTGCACAACAGACTGTAGACCTAAGATTTGAGGAATGTCAGTATTCCCAAATAGCCATAACAAATTTGTCAAAAAATAAATATGGAAGTTTTTCTAGTTTTGGAATTACTGAATTTCCTCCACTTTTATGGGTAACAAATATGGAAAAAACAACTAAAAAAATCTTACATTCTGAATGGAAGAAAATAAATCTCAAAATAAAACTGATGAGAGAGTATAGAGTCTTTTATTTATATATCTAACATTTGGAGCGTGGGCTAACGGGGAAGAACTGTTCCTTCTTAGAACAGCTCAAAAGGGCATAGAAAAAAATTCCCCATTTGGACAGCAAGTCCATCTCCATTTATTTCAACAGGAGGTGGCATGCTGTCCTTCCAGATTCCAGGTAAAAACAAAAAAAAAAAAAAGTAAAACCAAAACACAACTCAACACAAAAAAAAAAAAAAAAAAAAAAAAAACCAAAAACCCACACACATTCTTATTAGGACACCAGCTACTATCACCATTCCCCTCCCTGCAAGTGTCTCTACCCAAACCTCTTGGCTCAGCCCTGCCCTGCCCATGGTCTCTCTCAGTCTCAGAGCAGAGACAGTGACCCACTGAAGTATTATTGCTCAGTGGAGGAAAATAAATTAACCACAGTTTCTTTGATTCCAGGTCTGGTAGGGTTTTTGTTGTGCATTTCAGTTGGCTTTGGTTTTCCTTCGTCTGGGTCAATATAAAACAAGGCAAAATGAAGCAACTGAGGTACAGCTTGCTTGAATTCTAACAGAAAGCAGGGGCCCCCCTAAGTAATTGTAATAAATACTTTTATTTGCACGCCCTTCCCACAGTAAGTCTAGGAACCCATATTTCTGGGTGATAGCTTTTTGTTAAGTAGAAAGGAGCACTGCAGGCTGCATTACTGTGTTGTTACTGACTGCATTTTTCTCTCTCAACTGTGGTCCAGTTGTCCCCAGTTAAACAATATTTAAAAAGCCACTTTTAATCCTACATTTTTTGTAATATGGTGTACAAAGAATAAAATCAAAAACCAGCTATTTTACGCCCAGATTCTCAAAAATAACCCCTAGAGGAATATGCTTGTTCTAGCTAGGTCTTCCATCTCTTTTTTTTCCTACTTTGGCCCTAAAACATCCCATTTTAACCTCTGCCCTAGGTCTAAACCACATGATTAGCTTTCTGAACAAACCTTGCATTCTACTATATAGCAGTTTCCAGGAATGTAATAATAGGAAGAATTCCTAGATAATATAGAGTCAGACTCCCCAAATTACAATATATAGCCTAAACTCTGTTGTTAAATTTAAAAAGCAGTACAATCTTAAAAACACCATTGCTTGTTCTCTGGACAGAAGCATCCTACCTGTGAGGCTGACAGTGGTAAGGACACTGCTAGTGCCTCTTCTACAGTAGCTTCTCCAAGGAATACACCTCAAAAAGTACCCAGTATAAAACTACACTCAACACAGCGAGTAAGTTTCTTGCACACCACTTGTATTTCATAGCTTTTGTCTTACATGTGCTCAGAATTCCTGTTTCGGAGTTATATATTTTATAAAGTTGATCTCTTACCTCACAACTTTACTAACCGTATCTGCTCCTTGTACTATTTCAACTTTAGAAAGTTTGTCAACAGACAGAAACCAACATCCCTCAAAAAAACCCCACCACCCTACAACAGGGGGGAAAAAACAAACAGACAAACAACAAAAAAAAGACAAAACAACCTATTCTCACTTCATTTCAAAGTTTTATCAAGGTGAACATTTCATTACATATTTCCCACATGCTGATCTTCCCGTCAACAGGCTGAATTACTTGCAGTATTTGCTTTCTATGCAGGCAGAACTTCGTTGCATTCTTTGGCAGTGGGAACAATACACAGAAGTAGCCCAACAACTCAGGACACAAATCTGGAAAGAAATAAAAAAAAAAAAAAAAAAAGAAAAACAAATAAAACCCTCTACTTTGTAACTAGCTGAGTAGCAGCACTTTTTAAATTTAAAATGTAAATATAGTCAATACCAATTTTCTTATTTTAACTAATCTCTTATCTCCTGCAGTTGCACTGAGGAAAAATTTCTGAGTTTGATCATATCTTAGTAACACTTTTTTTCCCAAGGCCTTTATCTGCACTGGACTCTTATCTAGTCCTAGTGTCTAATATCACATGACCCTAAAGTCTGATGGGTTATTGATTTTTGTGAACACCTAGATAGTTGCTGTGGGGTTTTGCTATGCCTTTTCAAATTTTGGTTACCTTTTTTACAATATATTCAGCTCATGCACTGCCAGATACTATGCTCATAAGAAGCTCACATTTTACAGATGTTCAGTTACGAACACAGATGCTCAATTAAATTCAAAGTGTTTAAAGAAATGGAACTGGATTCCTTTTTTTGTTTCCACTTATTATTGTGAATCAAAGATTGCTACCAGTTAATTGATACAAAAGCTTCTGTGTAAAGTCACAGACTACAGTGAAATGTCAGGTCATTCTTTAAACAGATGCACTGTAATATCCAAACCTATCTCCAGCTACCTAACCAAAATACTGTGTATGGCACAAAGGGAGGTGAAGTTAGGGAACAAGTAGGTGGGCTGGGACACATGCGTGTTAGACGTGAACATTTATACACGAAACATCAGCAGAAACATCACCTATCAAAGACGTCTTTGGCAGTTCTGCAGTATCTGTAGGGAGCAGATCTCTAGCAGTGGGCTCAGAATCCAACTCTGAAACCTGGATCATCCCTTCGGTTTTTCAGAACACCTGATGTCCAACACAAAAGGACCTCATAACAGGCTCCTGGGCTGTAACACATGCCAAGTTTTAATTAGGTAGACTCCTTAAACTGAGGATAAAAGTCACCTTCATTAAAAGGTATGTAATTTAGATGAAATTATTTAATACATTGGTTGAAAGTGAATTTGAAGCGGGTGTTTTTCTAAAAGCTATTGTGGAAACCAGCGATAGCAAAGGTCCTAGTGGTATCCAGCATTTTTAGCCTAAAGCATGAGCTTTCGTTTTTCCTCTCAGTTTAACAAACAGTCCAGCAGAAATGCTGTGAACTGATGAATCTTCCCAAGGAGGATTTTCCTGGTGTAGACTGACCCTTTATGTATTATTCATCCATACCCTCTCAAACGCAAGATTGTGGATTTCAGTTTTCTATTTATGTAGTTTTATCTGCCTCAGACAGGAGAAGAGAGAATCTTCGTTCCTGAAAGCATTATCTAATACAACCTGAAGAGCCAGACATGGCCATATTGATTTGTTTGTTGTTGTTTGGGGGTTTTTTAACAGAATACACTTTAGGGAACCATTTGTACTCCTAGAAAAATCCAGTGAAATGGTATTATAATAACAATTTCCATGTGGGAAAACAAGTCTTACACATTTCAGAAAAATTAATTAACAATTATATTTTTATTGATTGCAACTCCATCTTATACATATTCTCAAAATGGAACCTCTTGCTGATTCTTCCCGAACTGCATACCTGAACTGTGGACCATTACATCAGCAAAATAATAATTACAGTAGGAAAAGATGATACTTGAATAGCAATGATGTTTTGATATCTACATTGCCCAGCCACACTGAACTCCCAAAATCCAGCACAGCTCCATAACACAGGGATTTATAAGAAACAGTATATGCTTTTCTGTAGAAACCATGAGATGGAAAACAAAAATACAAACTCTTGCAATACATCAGGAACCTTCTTTTGGCAATACAGATTCAGTGTAATTTTCTGCTTTATACACACTCCCCAGCCCTTAAATCACAAGAAGCCAGTTAGGATAAGCTATGGAGAACAAAATTCAGCAGGAGGTGCCAGTATGCTGTAGCATAAAATGTTCCTACTGTCAAGGCCCAGGACATAAAGCAAAACAAGCTGCTACTACTGGTTACTACAGCACACACTCTACCCTTTTTTTTTTTTTTCCACAAGCAAAGACACATCATCTTCCTCAAATGAGGTTCTTAACACTATTACCTTTGGTTCTTTCAAATCCCTTGAAATTACTCATACAATGACACTGTGTTTTACATGGATGGGCAATACAGGGTTACAGTAATCTTACCAGGTGTGCTCACGTTAACATATTACTGATGTTCCTCGTTCTCCCTTGGTTTTCCTAATGGTGGTTACATACGCTGGCTGGATCCTCATTAAACAGTAAGCCATTTGGGGCAAGGTTATCCCTTTTTCAGGATTAGGCACACAACATTGTAACATATCGGAGAACAATTTTTTTATTCTGGTATGTGTTAAAGGACATTTTTCTCAAGGAAGTGTGTGTTTGGTATTATTAACTGAAAGGAGAAAATCTTGCACAGTATGTTCCTTTTGTACTGTTACTTCACAGAAGGAAAAGGAGAAGAAAAAAATAGGAGGGAGCATAAAAATCATTAATTTACAGCAAATGGTCACCTCTTCTGGTCAAAAATAAAGCATAAGTTTATCACACATTTCACTATGCATGAAATCAAAGCACTTGCTTTGCATTTAAAAAAAACAATAAACAAACACACAGAAAATCTAGATGCTATGCAGAAGCAAAATTACATTTCTTATGAAAGTCCAACAGCTTTAAGTATCAATTAGGTGAGATCTGCTTTCCACTGAACAGTCCTATGAAAAGTAGTTTAGGTAGTTTAGTAGTTTTAGCATGCAAAAGCAAGACAGGACAAAGTAAAAGCACACTAGCTTACCAAAACAATTACAATGATTTTTTTTTTTCCCCTGTTGGAAACAGCTGGCCCTAAAGCCAAATTATTTGTAAAGAGATGCTGCCATTTCAGCCACGTACACAAGCTATTCATACACAGATTGAGAGTCTTCACTGACAATACTGAATACCAATGTCCTGATTCACAGACATGATGCCAGCTGTTATCAAATTTTACTTTAAAGGGGGTATGGACAAATATAACTAGTTAAACGATGTCTGTAAACTGGCTTTCTGAAATGACCTATTGTCCCAAGTTGCCTATGTAACATAAGGTTAAGCCAGCTAAACTCAGGCTTTTCCCACAGCACGCCATGATAATCAACTGGACACAGTACCCTCCTTACTTTCTGTAAATGGTACAGATTACCAGATATTTAGGTTAACTGTAGAGAAATTAAATAATGAGACTGAAAGGGTTGATCAGGAACACCTGCCCTTCCTTCCAAGAAAAAGAGGATTATTTGGAAAATTTTTCATTTTTCTTTTAAAAGAAAAAAAAAAATCATCATACAGTGTCAGTGGAACTCACTGCTATAGAAAGTCAATGAAGCAATCTACAATTATGTAAAGGTGGAATATATATTTTCATAACACATCTAGAGGAATCAAAATTATATTTTTTTTTCAAATTATATCAAGCTTCATGCTTCAGAGATTCAACAAATCATTAGAAAACCTTATTGCCAAGAGAGAATGGAGATTATGACATCTGCCTAAAAATTAGTTCCTCTGTAGTCTTTGCTGTTTGTAACTGTCAAGATCAAAGTACTGAACAAGATAGATGATAGTACTAACCCATTATGCTAGTTCTTGGATAAGCCTTCCTACAGTGCAACAAACCGTTTCAAAATACTATTTTTAACAGAGTGCCAAGTCCTAACATTCCCAGCTTCATTCAACATATCAACCACCAACACCGTACAACACAGCCTCAAAGCCTCAAATTTTGGCAAAGGTTTCAGAAGAGTATAATTCGATCAGCTGTTGGCAGATATTTAAATACCGAAAAGTGTTTACAACTGCTGAAGTCCTTAGACTTCTCAAAGAAATTACAACATGATTTTCTCCATTTCCAAGAATAAGTTACTGACTGAACTTATACAGACAGTCTATACTCTGTGTAAGATGCTAATTAAATTGCAAAAGAATTCCATCCAGATTTGGAGAGCAGACACCTCTTGTAGCCTATAACTCTAAAAGAGCACTACAAAAATAAAGCAAACAAAGAAAGATCTCTATTCTCATTTGGGGGATATTAACAGCAGCAAGTCAGTTGGCAAATGTTTTATTGTTGCATTTGACTGACCAGTTATAGAACAAATTTTTACCGATTTCTGCCTTGATAAAGCATTAAGACTAGAATTCAGAACTACTAATAAAGTGCCCAGCTTGAGACCAATGGTCTGATTTTCCAGAGCGGTAGAAAACCCACGGCTTTCACCATCTTCCACTGGCTCCACTAGAGCATGGAGTCTCTGGAAAATTCGAGAATGTCACGTGGAACAGAGCAACAACCATCAGTCTGAAAGAACTAATAAATCTCACCCTGTCCACCCTAAGCCTCCCACTTACCACCCAGCAGGCCGAGCTGTGTTTAATATAAAAGAAACACAGTACTTGACAGATGACACCTATATATTTTCCTGCAGAGAAGTGAACAGACTCCAAGCAGTGTAATTTATCTGAAATTATCTTGATTCCAGGCATGCTTTTCTCAATGTGTTTATGAAGACAAAGAACATGCTTTTCTTTATGAAACATTCATACCAAAGGAAATTATATATCTTCACATTAAAGTGCAAGTTTCCAAGCTGGATATTGCCAAAAGGGTTCACCGTCATCTGATTTTCTCTGTGTTTCACATAACACGCTTTATACATTCATGATTTTTCTGAAGCAGCATCACAAAATAATTTGACCTGTTTCTAAAAAGATCAAAAAAGACAAAGATTTTAAATGGTATAAAGTGACATTCCCAAGCCAGGGAACTGTCAAAATGCTCTAAACTAACTGAAAACATAAAACTGTCACCGTGAGATAAAAAGACCAAGGATGTGATCTGCAGTACTTTTCATGAGCTAGAAATTTCATAGGCAAGATGGACATAACATACAAGAAAGACACTGAGGTGCTGGAGCATGTCCAAAGAAGGTCAACCAAGTGGGTAAAGGGTCTAGAGCACAAGTCTTATGAGGAGCAGCTGAGGAAACTGGGGTTGTTTAGCCTGGTAAAAAGGAGGCTCGGGGAGACCTTATTGCTCTCTACAGCAAACTGAAGGATAGCGAGGTGGGTATTGGACTCTTCTCCAAAGTAAGAAGTGATAGGATGAGAGGAAACAGCCTCAAGTTGCACCAAAGGAGATTTAGAGCAGGTATTAGGAAAAATTTCATCACCAAAAGGGCTGTCAAGCATTGGAACAGGCTGCCCAGGGAAGTATTTGAGTCGCCACCCCTGTAGGTATTGAGGACACATGTATGTGGTACTTTGGGTCATGGCTTAGCGGTGGACTTGGTAGTGTTACATTATCAGTTGGACTCAATGATCTCAAGAGTCTTTTCCAATCTAAATGATTCTATAGTAACATAGGAGTGTGAAACCATCTAGTGTTTTAAGAAATTATTTCACCCTGAATAAACAGTTTTTGCTTTCCCATAGCTCACCACTCAACAGTTAATACTATCATTATCCCTCACTGCAAGGTAATAATGATGAATTGTGGGAGTCGACGGTCTAAGAACCCAATTTTAAGAGCCCTTCTTCAGTGTTGCAATCCACTTTGCACTCCAGCAATCCCTCCCTACCTGCCCAAACACAAACTTTCCCCCTGTAAGTATGACTTTGGGAAGAAAGTTTTAAGAAGAGATGCATAACCTCCAAGAACGAAAAACTGGCAGGCTCATAAAAAGAATCTTTAGACTGGCCCGAGTCATACCTTCTGAAAGCACTGGTTACATTACTGTCCTCTATGGCTTATGTTTAGAAAGAAAAATTAAGAATCATGAGATATATGGTAATATTAGTCTAAGCCAATTCCTTATACGTAGTTTCTACAACAAATGCAGGACCAATCTCACAAACAACAGTCTGCTTTAGCATACCACAACTAGTCCAGGAGCACCCAGATACTGAATGTGACAGAGGATCTGTGGAAAGGGGGAAAAAGGAAATAAAGAAAAAAAAAATTAAAAGGAAGACTTCTGTACAAGAGAAGGCATATTTCAAGGCAAGCCAACTTTAAAACTGCATGGGGGAGAAAACACACTGCACGCATTTGCTAATATTAAAGTGCTTGACTTGGCAAACCTATGCTCTGAAATGCATTTTTAACAGCAGCCAGAGAAATAACAGAAACAAAAAGAGGCAAGGTCTTAAGACAATCCTCCTCCCAAACACACTGACAAGGAATCTTTCTTCCTTTCAGGTGATTAACTTCACAACACTTGTAAGAACCTAGCATTCCTGAAAGCTCTAATAGTTTATTAAAATTTTCAGTAGCTTTATCAGTTAAAAGAATGGAGAGACATAAGCAGCCATAATGCTGCACATTTGCCGAAACCTCACATTGTTAGAAAATAAAGCTAAAAAGCCTCAAATACTCAGTTTTAGGACAACTAAAATAACAAGGCCCAATTTCCTGCAAGTTTTCTTATTGATTTTGGGTCTAAAAAGTGCAAACGTTGCTTGGAGATTTTTCTGTGGTTCTGGTATTTGTGAGTGCTTTCTCTTATGTGAATTCTTTTGTGTACGTTAAAATGCAAGATCACATTACAGTATTTTTTCCCCAACTGTTGAGGCTCTTGCAGGTAGTCAACCACCTTTGCTTATACCTTCTCCTTATTAGACTGTCTTCCCAACTCTTGGAGAGAGGGAACAGCAAGCATACAGGAGTCAGAGCTTGTTTTCTCCCATTTTTGCTGGTCAGCAGCCAAAAGCTGTAGCAAAAGCAGTTCTTCAAAGGCCACAATATTTCCAGGGCAGGAAGAATCTTGACAATATTTTTCCACCATACTTTAGAAAGCACATGTAAATCAGAGGTTTTTCAAAACTACAGAATTTGACCATATTGAGCTGATTTCAAGACTAGTATCAAACAACAGCACCCTGCAAACATGGCAAACTACATCATGTTACAATCCCACTGTAAAGCACTAGGGACACTTGGTAGTCACAAGTAGGGACACAAGTAGTCATCTTTCCTTAACCTCACTGTAAGAAAGCAACTGTACCATTCTAGCTAGCACTCTTAATCAATCGATCAGTCAGTCAATCAACCAACCAACTTGAGGCAGACAGCTGCCAGGACAAAGTTTGGAACGAATGGCTGAGATATGACAAAGTATAATGGATTGTGTCAGATAGCCTTAGCTGGAACATGAGACATGACTACAATATATAGCAACCGTAACTTTAACAGCTAAGCTTATACTTTTTCCCTACATCAGGAAATCAGACTGCCAAGTTATCACTGCATCATTAAAACAAACAAACAAACAACCCAAATCTTTAACACACATTTAAAGTATAGCCACAACATTAAATGCATTTGCATAGAAACAAACCAGACTAACACACCTCCAGATTAAGAAACAAGACTGTAACCATATTGTAACTCAGCCCCTATATGAGCCAGTCGTAGACTTTTTTTTTTTTTCTTCTCCTCTTAAAACATAGCATTTTGGTCTGAACTGCATGGCGACACCAGAGCACTCGGTAACACACTGGAATTACGTTGGATAAATCAAAACAAATAACCTCGTGCCTTTAGAAAGAAAAATTAGCACCCATTTCACACACCCCCCACAGCACCTGGAACTAACTGCGGTGCTGCCCGTTTCTGGCGCCGGCTTCTCCGTGCCCTTAATCTCCCCAACCCGACTTGACCCTGATTTGAAAGGCTCCCAAGAGCCGCGCCGAGGAAGGCGGCCCCGCCCGCCGAGGCGGCCGCTCACCGCGCCGGCCCCCTCCGCAGACGGCATCGGCTTTCACGGCCGCGGCCGCGCCCCGCCCCGGCCCTCAAGGTGACCGCCCTCCGGCCCCTGGGGCGGCCGCTCCTCGCAGGCCCCGCTCCGCCGCCCGGGCGCTGCCCCACACCCGCGCCCCCTCCTCTCCCTCCCAGCCCCTCCTTCGCGGCCGCGGCGACCCGACACCTCCCGCCCCTCACCGCGGGCCGTCGCACGACCGAGGGCCGAGCCACCCCCTCCCCGCCGGGATCCCTGCGCCGCCGGGAGAAATAGTCCCCTCCTCCCCCCCCTCCGCACCCTCCCTCCGGAGGAGCCCCGCGGCGCGGCAGCGGCCCCGGTATCAGCTCGGGCGGAAAACTTGTGCCGCGCCATCGGGGCTCTGCCGGCACCCCCGCCCCCCTCGGCTAGATCCGGCCGGGCCGGCGCGGAGGGATTCCCGGGGGCTGCGCGGTGCCGGGGGAGGGGGGGCGGTGTGAGGGGGGAGGAGGTGCCGGCGCCGCGGCGGCCCGAGGGGGGGGCGGGGAGGGGGCAACATGGCGGCTCTGTATTAACTTCCCCCCCCTCGGCAGCCCGCGCTGCCACCGCTCTCTCCCGCTCTCCGCCCCCCCGCTCCCCACCCCCTAAGCCCTGACATGCCGGGCATGATGGAGAAGGGAGCGGAGCTCTTGGGGGGCAAGAGCCGGGCAGCCCCCAACGGCACCAAGAGCAGCAGCCCCTCCAACGGGCACTACTCGGAGCCGGAGAGCGGCGGTGGCGACAGTGGCGACGAGCACGGTGCGAGCCTGGGGCCGGCCCCGGGCCGCCCCGCCAGCGGGGGGAGGAGGAGGAGGAGGAGGAGGAGGAGGAGGAGGAGGAGGAAGAAGGGGGGGGGGGTGGAGGGGCGGTGAGCCGAGTCGAGCCGCCTCCCCTTTCCCCGCGCCGGTGTCGGGGCGGCGCGGGCGCTGCCGCCGTTTCACCGCCGCGCGTCTGTACTGCGGCGGGCCGGGCCGCGGCCGCGGAGGGGTGGGGGGGGGGTGGTGCGCGGGATCGCGCGGCGCGTCCCCGTGGCGGTCCCCGCGGTGCTTAACGATGGGGAGTGTCTCCCGGGAGCCGCCGCCGCCGTCCCCATTGTTCCGCTGAAATAAACTCCCCCTTCTCCCCCCTCCCTGCCGGTCGTCGGGGCTTAATCCGCGGCGGCGGGCGGGGTGGCGGGGGGGGGAGGTGGCTTATTCCGCACGGCCGCGGCGAGGCGGTGGGGGGCTCCCGGGCGGCGCGTCCCCCAGCCCGCCCGCCCGCCCGCCGCACGGCGGTAGCCTGGGACGGCGCCCGGGGACACCCAAGCCGTTAATTTCTCTTCCCCCCCACTCCCCTTCCCTTTGCGTTGCAGATGTAGGAATGAGGGTCGGAGCGGAATACCAGGCGCGCATTCCTGACTTCGAGCCCGGTAAATCGCTTTTCGGCGGTAACCTGCCATCGTGCCGCCGCCGCTCCCGTGGCGGGAGGGGTGGGTTTGGGGCCGGGGTGGGCTCGGCTCGGCGCTCTCCCGGCGGTGGCCGCGGGGTTGGATTTATTTTGCTTTTGAGCCTTTGTGTGGGCGAGCCGGTGCCGGCGGCGGGAGGCTGGCAGGGGCAGCGGCAGCTCCCCGTGCCCCCTGGGGCGGGGGGGCATAGCGGTGGGAAATTTTCACTCCATTATCAGCCCTATTATGTGTATCCGGCGGGAGGCGGTGAAGCAGAAAAAAAGGTTGGATGCTTTTTTTTTTTTTTTTTTTTTTTTAAAAAAAAAAATCCTTCCTTAAACCATAACGTGTATAATGTGTTAATAAGGTGATTTACAGATGTTTGCCGAGGGGTAGTGGCGGCTGTGGGGCAGGGCTGGGAAGTGATGCGCCCTGCCGGAAGCGGAGCAGACCTGGCTGCGGGCGGGAGGCGCTGGGTGGAAGATGCGCTCGGTGGGAAACTCCTGCCCCCGGTTTTGTGTGCTGTAGTAGCCTCGCTAGCCCCGCTGTTGCAGCCTGAGCTGCTCTCCTCTGCCTTCCTCGCCCCCTCCAGCCCCGCCCCGAGGAATACCGGGTACGCTCGCATAGCCTGGTACTCGGTTTTAGCAAGTTCATTGCTAGAATGCTCTCTGGCGTTACTACGCTGAGCAGTGAGACCGGAGGAGCGTTTATCAGTTTTGCTGTAGTGGTCAGATGAAGCCTATCTACTTTCCTGTTCTCCAAACAGGCTCCATTGGTGTCAGATGATTTCCTACCGGAAGAGGATTGGGCCAGAGCTTCTCACATAGTGCCTCCTAAAGCTGGAGCGAGCCCCTCTTGATGGGCGCAAGTCACCACAGGCCAAAGAAAAGGCCTGGAGAAAGAAAGGGGGAGGGTGGGATTAAATGGATGCATGATCTTGGCATAAGGGAATGCCTTTCCCCTAGAAAGGAGCGCATAGTCTAGGTCTCTTTGTTAATAAGACTAACCGTTTACACCCTTTATTTTTACACTGACTACATAAAAATAAACATAAATAAAAATGATCGTTTCTAACATGCAGCCTGGGCTTGTTTTTCCTACAGGCCACTTAAATTAGAAAAACACATAGTGTTTGTTTTTCTTTTGATTAAAAGAACGCTTCACCCCTTGTAGGACAACTGAGGCTCTGTGGTTCCAATTTTGTAAACTATATATGTGGTAGTATCATTACATTTGTAACTACAGAACTAATTTTATGTTCTCCTATAATCAGATTCTGGGGGGTGGAATTCAACTGATGCTCCTTTCCCCAATAATTGGGATTAATATATACTCCTTTACTTTATCCATTTCCTTAATGATGGAATTTTTTTTTTAATAAGTCTTGCATAAGAAACGTAATGTATATTATTGTTCTTTTTAGTCTGTATTTTAATTATTAGGGTAAGAAGATAGTAACTTCTGGGGGAATGCCTAAATCTTACAAAATTTAAAAAAATAAAAAAATCCATAAAGTGTAAAAATACAACACATTCTTACTGTGCTAGCAGATTAGTTATGTGAGGAGATCTCAGCAAGATCTCATGCTTTCATCAGTTTGGGGTCTTTTTGTTTTTCCAATGAGTATTGAGGCATCATTTCTTAGAGATGGAAGTATTACTGGACAAAAAGCTGTACTCTTATCATAGCTACGCTCTTAGATTACTTTTTTGTTTTTCAGCAAATGTTGTAGTGGACATTCCATCATGCTTCTAGGTTTGCATATATGGACACAGGCACTATCTCTAATTAATGCTGTTTCTTCTTTTTGAACGTTTACCAGATAACCTTAGACTGTGTGTTTATTTACAGTACTTTGAGTGGTGTTTTTTAAAGCCTCTTAAAACAAATAGGTGGGAGAAGGGAATCGATGACAGATGAAGCTAGATAGAAGTCTGAGATACAAAGTCAGCCCTCTGGTACACATGGAAAATACTAAAATGAGTAGGATAAATATCAGTCTATTGGCCTCACTTAGCCTGTGTTGAAAATTATTTGTAAGCGATGATCTGCAACTATATATTGAGTAATAAAACATTCATGATTAAAGTTGTGATGGTAATAAACTTTTTTTTAACCTGAGTTCATGTATAAAATAGGAAAATTTTTGAAGAAAAAAATGAATCAATTGGTTATCAGTGTCTCTTCAAAGAAGTGGATTGTGGTTGGAAACAATTAGGAGAAGTTAGTTTAACCATACTCTTTCTTACCCCTTATCTCACCATTCCCTTTTTACAAGCGAGCTTTCAGATAGAACTGTAAGGGAAATAGCATTTTTAATTGTCACTAGATAGTACTGCAATGAGATAAATTTTCTCACTGCAAAAAACAGTTTTAATAAAATAAAAATCCTAAATCTCCTTTCCTAATTTAGGGAGTTAATAAATCATCTCTTGCACTCCAGTTTTTGTTTCGTCCTGATAGTTTTCCTGTAGTACTTTATGTTCCTGAGGTGGAACTGTTTCTGCTTGTGCTTTTTGACCTACCTATGGATGTAGCAGTATGTTACAAAGTTGGTATTCTTATGTTGAGGGCTGTTTGCATTCTCTGGGTAAGCATAGTGGAGAATGCCATCGCTGGCAGAGAACCATACTGTCATGTCATCCACACATGAGGTAACTGCTGCAGAAGTTTTATTCTGCTCAGATTTGGACTTCTCAAAGGCTTTAGTATGAATTTTGCTTACTTAATGCTAAGATAGTTATTTTCCATTTACTCTCTTCTCAGGGGTGGGGTGTGGGGGCTGTCAAGAAGAATGTTTTATAACTTTTAAGGTCACTTATGGCATCAGTTTCTGTGTACATCCTTATAAATTTTCTCCTCTAGTCTTCCTATACAAAAACGGGCTTTCTTAAATTGACGTTATTAAATGGTGTGGTGAAGTATGTAGAATTTTTCATTTATTCCATGCCATCTGTCCTCACGTTCCCAGGTTTTTGTTTTGTGTTTTTTTTTTTTTTTATTATTATTTGTTTATTTACTGATTTATTTTTAAGGTTTCCAGTTCTTGATTTTTGGAAGTGTAGTTGTTCTTCCTGTTAGTTTCTGTGTTTCTGTTCTTACTCTCAAAGCTTAGGCTTAAGCAGATGATGGTATTTTGTATGCTGGAAGCCTATATAGTTTTAAATTGCCATGCTGCCCCACAATGCCCTTGATAAGTCTTGTATGCTTCCAGATTTTAATTTTATTCTCAGTACTTGGAGTCATGTACAGAACTTCACCATCCGTGTGTACCTAACTTCTAATGCTAAGCTGAAATTTAGTAAGTGTCAGTTTGCTGCTAGTTTCTCTATTCTGGAAGCAGAGGAGAGTGCCTGTGGGTCATCTGCAGCCAGCCCCTTTTTCTAAGTGGTATCTGCAGAGGAGGGCAGCAGCTGAAGGACAGAAATCTCTTCTGAAGTGACTTGAATGTGGGGCTTGCACAGGGGAAGACTTGTAATACTTGTGATGTAGCTCATGGTCTTTCTCTTCCTTACCGGCTTACAGCTCTGCTCTTCTAACATGCTTTGGTTAACATGTTGCCTGGTATTTCCAGCCGCAGTCCCTAATAAGAATGGATCTTGCAGCTAAAGATCATGATGCCCTTGGGATACAACACAGCCTTTTTTTGAGGAGGGGAGTGCTGCTCACTTGAATACTGAGCCACAAAGGACCAGCAGCAGTTCTCCTAAAGGCAGATCATGGTCCTGCATCTGGCGATGGAGGGATCC